CAACCTTGGCTATTTCCAGATGGTTGAACTTCATGTTCCAGAATTCCAATAGTCAGCACGGCCAGTGGATGAAAATTCTGGGAGCTGAAGTCCACGTACCAAGTGTGGTGAACACTGATCTATTCCAACCCACTTCCTAATACAGAACTCCACCATAATTGTAGATGACTGTCTGGTTTCTATTTAAATCCCTCCAATGAAGGAGGAACCATTAATTCCTGAAGTTTCATTGTTGAGCAGCTCTGACCTTTAAGAGATTCTTCCTAATATCCATCAGAGCTCTATTTTTTTTGTAATACTTTATTATCTTGTGAAATTGTGGGCAATTCTGCCTCATCTTCATGACAGTCTATCAGATGCTTTAAAAAAGAGTTATTATGTCTTTTTATAGTTTTCCATTTTCCAAGCCATACCCATAATCACTTCTCATAAGACTTTTTCCCAGGCCTCCTAACATCTTGGTTGTTTTCGAGACACACTCCAGTATCTTACTGTTATTCCTAAAAGATGGTGCCCAGAATTGGCACAATATTTGAGGTGCAGTCCCACCTACCTAGAGAAGACTCAAAGAAATCAATGGAACCTAAATCATATAATGCAGCTCGTTCATAAATAAATACATGTAGACTTGACAGCTTTCCTAGCCTTTTTGAACAATGTAGAGGAAGGAAGGGCAATTGTATAATACAACATGGCATTAGAGTATTAGTTGCCAATATGTATTATTTAGGAAACAACCACGCATATTTTTTCTATAATGCCTTCTCACTTCTGACTGCGCAAAAGTACATTATAGTATTAATTAACCTTTGTGGACTGCAATACAGTTCCTCCTCTGGAACACAATCCATTCTTTTAAAAATGAATATTTATGCTTATCTCTTTTCAGTAACAAAATTAGCCGAGATGGCATGAAGTTTCTAGGACAGCTATTAAAACAAAACACTACACTCGAGATTGTGGATCTTAATTTTAACAGGATAGAGAATGATGGTGCTTTCTACCTGAGCGACGCCCTTGCTACATATAATCGGACCCTCCAAGCGTTAGTATACAAAATCTTTATCCCTAGACATTATGGATGTGATAACACAAGAGTATTGAAAACTGCAGGTATGAATGAAACCGCAACAAAAAATGGAAAAATTATTCAGGCTGTTATTTTTTAAGCACAACAGCCACATTTAGAATGCTCTTTTAAAATGTTTTAGATGGAACATCAAAAAAAAAAAAAAATCAGCATATTTAACTATGGCTTTCATTATTTGTTAGGGATTTCTTTTTTAAAAAAGGTCCTAAAAATCATGCCTGTAACCAATTTTATGAAGATTGGGTTTAGATAAGTAGTTTGCATTACATAATATCCACCTACTTTTGTGAGCCTAGGATGAGAAAGTAAGTGGGCTGTTTCAAGTTTCTTTAAACAAAATTGAACAAAATTAAACTTCGAACAAAATTGAACCCATCTGAATCTGTGTGATCACAGTTTAAGCACATGTCTCCTGGTGCCAAAATCTTCCTGATCTTATTTCATTTGCCTGTAATCACTCTTCAGTGTGCTGATACCTGGGTCTGTGATGTAAGCTTTTTATATGTCCATTTAGGCCATGGTTTGCTTAGCCACAGTTTGCTGAAAGCCATAGTGGTCTGTTTCATCCACAACACTTAAGTTATCAGAGCATAGATAAGAAGCCCTAAGGAAAATGGAAAGTGACATTTTCCATGAAGTTCCTAATCATCAAACAAAGGAGAAATTAGCACCAGGGGGTGGGCCAGAGACATAAACACTGTCATGTGTAAAAAGGGATAGAAAGCAAGATGGACTTTGTGGTTCTAGATAATGATAGCAGATTTGGTTATGGATGGAGAACAAAATATAGAGTTGCATCTAGTACAGGGGTCTCCAACCTTGGCAACTTTAAGACTTGGGGATGTCGACTTCCAGAATTCTGGGAGTTGAAGTCCACAAATCTTAAAGTTGCCAAGGTTGGAGACCCCTGATCTAGTATACAGATATTTTCTCATGCAGTTTGAAAAAGGCTAAGGCTGGTCAACTTTGCTCCAAAACTTTGTTTTCTGCTTTATATCCTTTTCTTAGGCTAGCAGTGACGTACAACAATATATCTGGACCAGGATTAGTAGCATTTTCAGAAGCCATGAAAATAAACCCTGTCCTTTCGTACATCTACATCTGGGGAAACAAATTTGATGAAGATGCTTGTGTGGTAGGTCCTTCTGCTCAAAGGTTTCTTCAGATATAGTGAACTAGATGTCCTTCGTGATAGTCATCATCATCATCACTTGTAAAGCAATTCCATCTGCCAGCTCCTTGCAGAGAAAGGATGGTGTTGTTACTTGTTACCATTCACCTTAAGGCCAAATATCTTGTCCTCCTTTCTGGTGACAACTGACATTTGGGCAATAGTTTGTGTAGGGTTCACACATTGCATAAACCCAGGTTGTGCTTTTTTAAGTGAAGGAACTGTCTGAACCCAGCCACTGAGGCTTTCTCAATGTGCACTTCAGTTCCTAGCATGGGAAGAGCTGTTTACAACTTGTAAATGACATTTGCTCGCTTCAGTGTTTCCCTTTTTTAAAAATATTATTAAAGAAACAAGTTTAAGTAAGTTTATTTAATAATATGGAAAATGGGAAATTAAACAACTAAGCCGGCAATTGTCATTTAAATAATTGAGTGATGAAACATAAATTGGTTCTCTTAGTATGTATATATAGTGGGTCTCTTTACTTTTTCTCCTCTTGTTGCATATTTGCAGACAAATATTTTTTAAATAAGAGGGTTATAATAAATTATTGCTTAATGGGCCTATCCCACCACTCTCTTTTTATAATCCTGCCCAGGGGAAGAAGTTCCTCTCACCTGATACGAAAACTATTAAAAAAAAACTTATTGAACTCTTGCACTGAAATGTAGCCCAGCATATGAAAATTAGACATATTTTCTCCATTATGTTGACAATCAACTTTCTTTCACACCTGTCTTCTCCTTTTTCTTCCTCCTTTCTTTAGTCTGTCAAAATATAGATGGCATAATGCCCACAGTAGGGATTATCTTCTTCTGCATTTTGTTCCATTATTCCATCTATTTCCAACCTGTGACATTATTGTCAATCAGTTAACAAAATAACCATTACTTTTTTAAAGGAAAGTGCAGCCAGGATTGCTAGTGAGATTAGTGTAGATCTGGCTTCAGTGTAGAAAAAACACCACAATATCATCACTTACTGATTCTTTCTACAATGACCATTTGTCCCAGGGCAGCAAAGCATCTAGGATGAGGTGATGGGCTTCATTTGAGATGACAAGGCAGACATGGTGTGAAAGAATGGTTTGGTTGGTTCCGCACCATTAGTAGCTCTTCAGAGTAGGAAATCAAAGTCATGCAGGCCAAAATTACTTTTAAATTTATGTATAAACTTAAATGGACTCCAGAGGATGGTAGAGGACAGGAAGGCCTGGAGGAACATTGTCCATGGGGTCGCGATGGGTCAGACACGACTTCACAACTAACAACAAAAAACAAAATTTTGCAAGTCTAAATGCGCTTCTTCTCTCCTTTATCTTTGTGAGAATTAGGGAGGGTCAAACTGATGTTTTTTCAGGTTACAGTTCTGCTCTGGACTCAGGTTCCTTGATTACCATGATACAAAAAAGATGTTGAGACCCTAGAAAGAATATAGAGGAGAACAAAGTTTAGGGGGTGGAGGCTAAGCAGTAGGATGAATGGTTGAGAGAACTGGGTATGTCTAGTCTAAGAGGATTAGAGGTGCCATGATCCCTGTCTTTCAACACTTAAGGGGCTGTCACAGAAATGAAGGGGTTGAACGATTCTTCAAAGAGGTAGGACAAGAAGTGATGAGTGGAATACCGTTGAAGAGATGACGGATCTCTGTGTAAAGGCTTACCTCCAGAAATTATGGTTGCTCCATGAGTGGAGGATTTCAAAAGACTGGACAGCCATTTGTCCACAATGGTATAGAGTCTCCTGCTTGAGCAGGGATTGGACTAGAACAGGGATCTCCAACCTTGGCAACTTTAAGCCTGGCAGACTTCAACTCCCAGAATTCCCCAGCCAGCTTTGCTGGAAGTTGAAGTCCTCCAGACTTAAAGTTGCCAAGGTTGGAGACCCCTGGACTAGAAGACCTCTAACCCTATTATTTTATGTTCTACAATATGTTCTACTTTCATTTGACCATCGTCTTTGTGGCAGTCTCTGCCTGTCCCTCAAGATCTGTCTTTCTACCCACTTTCTACCCACATGTATTGTGGCCATATACTGTTATGCGGCATTCTTCATTTTATTTTCTTACTGAAAGTATTCCTGCGCCACTGCTTACTGCAAAAATGCTCAACTTCATATTCTCTGGTTTTTCAGGCATTTGCAGAATTGCTCGAGAGTGGCCGTTTGAAGCCCACTGGAACAGATGTTGAGCCCTACAAAGTGGATGGACGTGTATATCTTGCTGAGCTCTCCCATGGCCTTAAGCGTCATTACTACTGGACACCAAGTTATGGAGACCCAGATAACGAAGTTGAAAATGCATCCTTAGCAATAAATCCTGTTTCAGAACATTTATGAATATAATTTCCCCCCCCTTTTCAGGAGTGTTTTCATATGTGTACCTTGCATTTAACACACTTGAGCATTTTTTTTAGGTGTTTGTATCATAATCACGACAACAATCAAGGCTGGGAATCTGGCTTATTCTAACAGTTGGGGTCTCAATGCAGCAATAGTTAATCTGATTGAAAACATTTATTCTGTAGCTTTTGTGTTTGCGAGTGTGTATGTTGTAACGATCATCAATATGTTTTTTATATGATTTGAACTCTCAAGTGGATTTCAGACCACTCGATTATCCTAAAATCCTTGGTTTGTTTCATGTTTAGGTCATTGATCATTCTGGAATGAAGCCTTTTAAAATCTCTTTTGTGTCCCTTTGTATCCCAAGCAACAATAGAAGAGCAGAGCCCAGAAGTGTTACAAAACCAGTTTATTCAAATCTAACATTAAAATATTGCAACCTCTGCACGGGTAGCCTCAGAGGGATGTACAAAAAACAGGAAGTCAGCTACACACACATTTACCCATGAACAAAAAAGATCTGCAAATACATGAGAAAAATATTTCAGAAATAATTTAAACTGGAGGGTGTGGGGGGGGGGGAGTCATAAAACTCTTCAGAATGCCCACAATCGTGCAACTCTCATGTGGCAAAAATAGTAACATTCTCAGCCAAGAGCTCAACATAAGGATGAAGGACATCCCCTTTCTTCATGAAGGCAGCGTTCCATATCAGCATTAAAACCTCTGTTTAATGGCTGGCGAATCACACCAAACAACTGGTCATCAACCAGAAGGTTACCGTATTTTTCAGAGTATAAGACGCACCTTAGTTTTTGGGGAGGAAAATAAGAAAAAAGCTGATTGGCAGGTAGATTGGCCTCCTGGAATACCCCCAATCAACTGTTCCCAGAGGTGAATTCTAGCAACATTTCCCAGCGCTGACACCTTGGTTGTGAGCTCTGCGCCTTGCTTTTTTTTTGTGCTTCTGAAACTCAGTTTCAGAAAAAACTTTTTTTCCTGCCTCTGAAAGCCTCCGAAACAGAGGTTCAGGAAAAAAGCCTCTGAAGCTTTGTTTGGGGGCTTCTTTTCTGAAGCTCTGCTTGGGGGCTTTTTTTCTGCTTTTTTCAGTCTCTGAAACCTTCGTTTGAGAAGCTGGGCAGGGCTACATTCGGAGTATAAGACGCACCCAGATTTTCACCCTCTTTTGGGGGGGAAAAGGTACGTCTTATACGCCAAAAAATATGGTAATTTAAGTCCAAAATGCAGTTGGCTCTTCTTTCTATCTCCCCCCCCCGCCCCCAAGCTAGAGGGGGACGCAAAATGTAGCATACCCCTCTTTGTGACACAATCCCTACAGCACCCAGCAAATTCTCACAGCTAGTACTTTAATACCAGCAGAAACCATGATTTGTGAGAAAGATATGTTATCGCTCTACAGCCCAAGTTTTCCCACTATCACAGTAGAATCTTGAGACTGGGAATTTAAAAAAAGGTTGTATATTCAGTTATTGCTCCAATAATTTTCAGCTCTTCCAGAGCCTAAGTAGTGTATAAGATAAAAATGGCCTTTAAAAAAAACTGCTTCGTCTACAAACCACAAACCGTAGAAAGGAAAAAAAAATATTTATAAATATTAAATAGTCAAATACAGTCCAATAAAAAACCCCAGGGACAAGATTTTTGGAAATTCTGAAACAGTATTCAAGAGTGACCCAAATCCTCTTCATCTGAAATACCTGTATTAAACTGTTTTCTCCAGAAGGTAGTTTATAATGTATTATAAAGAAATATATCCAAAAGTTATCTTCCTACATGTTTTAGATTTTTTTTTTGTGCTAACAGAAGCTTAGTATCACCAGCACTAAGCAAGATTATACCACAAAAGTCTGATTTGAATGTATCAGGAAAGTATCAGAAGTAAACAACCAGATTCTCTCCATCTTCACAAAAGTAAAAAGTGGTTGCTAAGCTTCATAGAGATAACTCTCCTTTTCCTCTTCCCTAAACTATAACTCCTAAATGTAGGCTAACAATGCTAATTATGTCCTGGGGGGGGGGGGGAAGGAAATAGGTTCCAAAGCCACTTTGTTAGGACAGCAATTTGGCTGCTGCTAATAAGGGCAAAATCCTCTCTTTAGTTTTTGTCGATTCAGAAACAGATTATTATTCAGGCTGGATTTACCAAGCAACACATCAGGCTAGGAACATAGTTCCTAAAATCAGAATTACTGAGTCTCTAGCTCTCCTGGTCCTGAAAAATGCATGGAGATGCCTTTTAAACTCTTCTCTTTTTCCTGGTCCAAAATGTCTGCACAATCACATCCAATGGCAATGTTTGCCCTTCGCATACAGTTCTACAAACTCCCAGATTCAATAATTGGGACACCTTTTAAAGACCTCTTTCCTCTTTCCATTTTGGAGGGCAAAATGCACAATACATTGCTTCATTTTACATTATGCAATGTAAGGAATACAGTTCATTCTGTCTGAATTGGTTTCCTAGTTACTGGATTATATTTAGTTTTGCACATAAATACTATACACCTATGTAAGCCTATCTGAGTGGGTACTACAAATCTTACCCGAACCATAATTTGAATTTGGTATAGTTGTCAGAGAGACGGTACAGGTTGCATTAGTGCTAAAACTGCTATACATTTAATAATTGTACTTTTTCTTACGACACAGTGAATTTGCTTTTGTTGCATTGGATAAATTTGTAAAAGAATGGAATCCTACTCAAATATTTCTCCACCTCTTTCAATATTCCTGGCTTGTATTTCCTAAGGTCTACAAAGAAGAATAAGAAAAGGGAGTGAAATAGTACAGCTAGCTTTTTCTTTTTTGTTTCTTAGGAGTTTGAGCATAACTTCACCATATGTTTAAGTTCACACGCTGTTTAAGGTCAACTTAACAGCACAAACAGACATGTTTTTAAAAACATGTCCTTATCAGCAATTCCTTAAGGGCGCCTCCTAGTCAAAACATGAAGACAGAATTCTAGATAAACTGAATCTTTGGCTGAAACTAGCAGGTTAATTCCTTTACAATGCAGAGCTCCTTAAAAGATATATATTTTTGGCAAGGAGTGATTGAAAAAAATAGTAAGCCACTTGGCACCTCCTCACAGACACACTTGGAATTACTAAATGAAAAACATAACTGCCACGAGGACATCAAGAGCTAAAAAAAAAAAGATTTGTCATTTTTTTACTCTTCTAGAGAAGGAACCACTTCTAGAGCTTGCCTTGAGTTTTTACTAAGAATTTCAACTGGAAGGGAATTGCTTTTCAAGAAAAAAAAAAAACCTAACATGCCTTTAGCAGCGTAGAAATGGTCAGTGTGGATCAGTGATGGGTTTCAAAATTTTTTACTACTGGTTCTGTGGTTGTGGCTTGGTGGTGTGGCATGGATTGGTGGGTGTGGCTTGGTGGGCGTGGCAGAGGAAGGTTACTGCAAAATCCCCATTTCCTCCTGATCAGCTGGGAGTCGGGAGGCAGAGAATAGATGGGGGTGGGGCCAGTCAGAATTTTTACTACGGGTTCTCTGAACTACTAAAAATTTCCGCTACCAGTTCTCCAGAACTGGTCAGAACCTGCTGAAACCCACCTCTGGTGTGGATATTGTATAGGTCAGCTTCTGTTGCACAAGATGTTATAATCCATCAGAAAGGATAGATCAGAAGTCAGCTATGTATTTAGAAACTGATTTGGTATGCATGAACCACTCAGAATTTAAAACTAGGTGAGTACAGAAGTGATCAGATAGTTTGCCAGAGAAAAGATGGAATGTCAGTATTTCTTCTTCAGCCCCTTCATTTTTCTGATAGCCGTGGAGGAAATAAAATTCTTTTTCTACAACTAACATGACAGATCAAGCTAACAATCTTCTCAGAAAGCTACTAACTTTTGTGAGATGACTGATAAACCAGAAGAGCTTTTCTTAAATCTGTAACCAAGCCATTCCAATTTTTTTTCAAGCCAGGGATATCTGAAACCGGAAACAAAAGTTCTGGGACCAAATAATTGGACTAGCCGAATCTGTATAGAATAGGTAGCAAGTCAGAAAAAAATTACTTTGGATGATTCTAGCTTTGAATTTTATCCCCAAGACCTGAAATCTAACTTCAAGGACATCATAATTATATTATTATCTATCAATGGAGCCAACATATAGCACCCTAATGATGAACCTATGGCAGGCAAAGCCATGTGACCCGGCACGCGTGGCCTTGCCTGTTTGTCTTTCGAGTTTCTGGCGCACATGTGAGCGTGATGATCAGCTGTCCTTCACACGCGCAGCAGTGCTGAAAACTGGCCTGAGCATGCACGCTGCCCAACTGATCATCAGGCGCACATGTGCACTAGAATCCAAAAGTTCAGCTTTTCCGGAGCGTGGCCCTGACGAGCGTGTGCATGCGCACAGGATGTTTCCGTGTGACCTTTTCGGCACTTGGTGCTGAAAAGTTTCGCCATCACTGATATAGCACAATCACTGATAATAACTTATCAGGCTATTTCACTGATATAGGTAACTTTGCAAATTTCTGTTTAGACAAGAAATTCATCCTGTGGCCTACATAGCAAATATCATTGCAACTTCCTATATCCAATGACTTAATCTCTCATTCAGATTTATCTCTGCTCCTGGACACCTGGCATCTTCTTCAGATAGCCTCCTCTATCTCAAGATCCTAATTTTCCATGACAGAAAAGTTGACATCTTGGAAATGTCACAACTCTCCCCATCTTTTGTCCAATGGCATCCAGTTGTATCTGTAACACTCCGTGGAACATATTGGGCAGCTGCCGCATCTATATTGGCTGTTTTCAAAGTTGCTTTCAATTATTGTTGGGTTTGTTTATTTCAAAAGCTAAGTCATTTAGGGTTTAAAAAAGACACTAATTTCAGTTCAATGTTTTTAGCTTGAATACCTTGACTTAGTTTCTGCATGAACACTGAAGGGTCTTCCCCGTGTTAAATGGTTTAGGGTTCTTAAGGCAGATGTTGAAGAAAAACAAAAGATTTTTTTTATCTCCTAGAAAATGCAATCATCTTGATTCTTTCAGGTGAAAATACATAATCTTTGTCCTAGAGTAACAAAATATTAGAGAAAAAGCTGAATTCAAAGCAAAGATGCATCACCCAAAGTCCATAGTGGAAACTGAGATGAAATCTAGCTCACCCACAGCTCCTTTTGATCAGAGACGCTTGGATTTCTATAGTTTTCACCACTCAACAGTTGTCAGTACAATTGTTGGAGGAAAATAAACTGAGGTTCTGAATATCCCGTGATGGAAGATCTCAGAAGTGTGTCAGATGGGGAAGACTGACCATCCGTGACAGGCAGCAATATCTGATGATCCTCTGTTCCAATGGGCAGAGGCAATAGGTCTGAAGGCTTCACATCAGCAGATTCCAGCAAAAGGCTTTTCTCACTTGGAATTGAATCTTGCTCGCTGAAGGAAGAAGGGTCAAGTGTGATGGAATCCAATGGGTACTCGGAATCTGAAATGTCAAAACAAAATGGAAGAATTACTCTTGAAAATAAAGACCTATTTAATAATATACCATGTAACATGGCATACGTCGGTGAAACGTCTGAGGTGGCTCGGGAGTTCATGGCTTCCATGACGGCCATGGACCTGACCCAGTTAGTTCATGGCCCTACTCACAGGGGAGGTCACACTCTGGATCTGATTTTTGTCTCTGGCCAGTGGTTGAGTGGTCTTGTTATAGGGGATATAGACATGGAACCCTTGTCATGGTCTGACCACTCACTCCTTCGCCTAGATCTTCGAACCGCGACCCCTCGCCGCAGGGAGGTGGATCCAATTAGATGGATCCGCCCCAGGCGCCTGATGGATCCTGATAGGTTCCAGACGGAGCTTGGGCCATTTCCTGAGGATCTAGCACATGACTCGGCCGAGGACCTGGTAGCCGCCTGGGATCGGGCGGCTGGTGGGGCCTTGGACCGAGTTGTGCCTTTGCGGCCTCTGACCCGATGCCGATCCCGTGCGGCTCCTTGGTTTACTGAGGAGCTGAGGGAAATGAAGCGCCGGAAAAGACGCCTGGAGAGCGGTTGGAGGGCCAGTCTCGCTGAATCTGATCGAACACTGGTAAGGTCGCATATTAAGGCCTACCTAGTGGCGATAGAGACGGCAAAGTCTAACTACTTTTCCGCCTCTATTGCGTCATCAGGGAATCGTCCGGCTGCCCTGTTTAGGGTGACCCGCGCCCTGCTCCATCCAGGAGTGCGGGAGGATCCCTTAGAAGGCAGGGCGGAGGATTTCGGACAATACCTGTATGACAAAATCGCCCAGATCCGGGGGGATTTGGACTCTGACTGGGTAGATCAGGGCAGGGTGACGAGGAATAGTCTTGAGAATGTTATCTGGGAGGAGTTTGATGCTGTGACTCCTGATGATGTGGACAGGATTTTGGGGAGACTTAGTGCGGCCACATGTTTACTGGACCCGTGTCCCTCCTGGTTGGTACTGGCTTCCCGGGAGGTTACACGAGGCTGGCTCCAGGGTGTTATCAACGCTTCGTTGAGTGAGGGTTACTTCCCCACCGCCTTGAAAGAGGCGGTGGTGAGGCCTCTCCTCAAGAAGCCGTCCCTGGATCCGGCAATATTGGCCAACTATCGTCCTGTCTCCAACCTTCGCTTTATGGCGAAGGTTGTTGAGAGTGTGGTCGCACGACAGTTTCCGCAATTCCTGGAGGAAACATCTTATCTAGATCCGTTCCAGTCGGGTTTCAGGTCTGGGCACAGCACAGAAACGGCATTGGTCGCGTTGGTTGATGATCTCTGGAGGGCTCGGGACAGGGGTTGTTCCTCTGTTCTGGTCCTGTTAGACCTCTCAGCGGCTTTTGATACCATCGACCATGGTATCATGCTGCACCGGCTGGAAGAGTTGGGGGTGGGAGGCACCGTGTTGCGGTGGTTCTCCTCCTTTCTCTCCGACCGGTCGCAGTTTGTGTTGGCAGGGGGGCAGAGGTCGACCTCGAGGCCTCTCATTTGTGGAGTGCCGCAGGGATCGGTCCTCTCGCCCCTTCTGTTCAACATTTATGTGAAGCCGCTGGGTGAGATCATCCGTGGCTTTGGGGTGAGATACCACCAGTACGCTGATGACACCCAGCTGTACATCTCCACCCCAGGCCACCCCAACGATGCCCTTGAAGTGATGTCCCAGTGCCTGGAGGCTGTACGGGTCTGGATGGGGAGGAACAGGCTCAAGCTCAACCCTTCCAAGACTGAGTGGCTGTGGCTCCCGGCATCCCGATATAGTCAGTTGACTCCATCACTGACTATTGGGGGCGAGTCATTGGCCCCCACAGAGAGGGCTCGCAATCTGGGAGTCCTCCTGGATATGCAGCTGTCCTTGGAGGATCATCTGACGGCTGTAACCAGGGGGACCTTTTGTCAGGTTCGCCTGATTCGCCAGTTGCGGCCCTTTCTTGATCGGGATTCCCTGTGCACAGTCACTCATGCCCTCGTCACCTCTCGCCTTGACTACTGCAACGCTCTCTACATGGGGCTCCCCTTGAGGAGCACCCGGAGGCTCCAGCTGGTCCAGAACGCAGCAGCGCGGGTAGTGACGGGAGCAGCATGGCGCTCCCATGTAACACCGCTCCTGCGCGAGCTGCACTGGCTCCCAGTTGTCTTCCGGGTGCGCTTCAAGGTGTTGGTTATCACCTTTAAAGCGCTCCATGGCATAGGGCCTAGCTATCTGCGAGACCGCCTGCTGCTACCGACGACCTCCCAGCGACCCGTGCGCTCCCACAGAGAGGGCCTCCTCGGGGTGCCATCAGCCAAACAATGCAGGCTGGTGACCCCCAGGGGGAGGGCCTTCTCTGTGGGGGCACCCACCCTCTGGAATCAGCTCCCCCCAGAGATAAGGAGAATCCAAGACCTCAGTGCCTTCCGTCGCGCCCTTAAAACCCATTTATTTAAACAAGCCGGGCTGGCTTAAGATGAAATTTTTAACTGTTTTTAAATGTTTTAAACGTTTTTAATTGGTAAATGAGTTTTAATTGGGCCAAATTTATATATCTTTTAATTGTTTTTAATATTTGTTCTGCATGTTTTTTTAATCTGGCTGTACACCGCCCTGAGTCCTTAGGGAGAAGGGCGGTATAGAAATCCAATATAAAATAAATAAAATAAAATAAATACGAGGAACATTAAATTTTATTTATTTTATATTTCTATTTACACACACACACACGCACACACACACACATACTGTTCCATCTCCCTCACAGAGGAACTCTGGCCAGTGTACAATTTAATCAATACAATAATATTTAATTTACTAAGACTGTATTACCATTATTCTTCTCTTCCTTACTAGTATCTATCTCTTCCCACTTATTACTATAACCGTGTTGCTTGTATCTTTCAATTTATATTGTTTTTATTTGTTTCCTAGTACGATTTGATACCTTATTAGTAACCTTGACTATCACTAAGTGCTGTATCTTATGATTCTTGATGAATATATTTTATTTTTTCTTTATGTACACTGAGAGCATATGCACCAAAGACAAATTCCTTGTGTGTCCAATTACATTTGGCCAATAAAGAATTCTATTCTATTCTATTCTATTCTATTCTATTCTATTCTATTCTATTCTATTCTATTCTATTCTATTCTATTCTTAAAACATTTCAATCAAATAATTTAAGATTAAAAATTTAAAAATATAAAACAGCACTATAAACCTGCAAGAGATAGATCAAAAATGGGGAGACACTAGAGTTGTTAATATAGGCGAGGGGAAGGGTTCTCATGGCAAGGCTACACAGCTAGGTTTTGACCCCTCTGCGGAAAGCCAAGAGATTGGGGGCTTTCCATACCTCTGAGGGCAAGATGTGCCACACAGCAGGGACAGTGGCAGAAAAAACCCTCTTCCTTGAGAATTCCTTCCTACCAGTCGGAATTCTCTGACTGAAGGGGTTCCTGGCATATTTTCCCTGCCTGGATGAGCGGGATGGGCAGATGTGATACATAGGGCAACATCTAGCAACGCCTAACACAGCAATTAGCTTCTAGATTTATAAGAATATTTGAAAAAGTTGTTTCCCTTTCTTTCCCAATCAACCCTTCCTCCCCACCCACCCATAATACTTAGCTAGCATAGCCACTGGCACTAACGGGAATTGGACTGCAACATATTATTTATATTTTAGAGTTATATCTTATCCTTCATTCAGAAGATCAAGGCAGCACACCACAGTGCTTCTTCTTCTAGTTTTCCTCACAGCCTATGGGAGAGGTTGAGCTGAGAGAGCAACTGGTTCCAAACCACCCAATCAGTTTCTGTGGCTTAGCACCAGAACCGAACACAGTCTGTGTCCATCTAAGACTTTAACCACTGAGGCACACTGTCTCTTTTTTTAAAAAAAAGTGCTACTGAGGAAAGGCTCTTCTGGACCTTCATCAGAATAGCCAATCTGTTAGAGTAGTATAATTTTCCCTTAGAAATAAATTAATACTTTCCACCTCATATGCCTATTTTGGGCAACGATCCCCAACCTTTCCAGCTTTGTGGACCAGCGGGGGGAAGGGGAGGAGAGGGAATGGTTACACGCGAGTGGCTGGTGAGGACGTGTGCAGCCCCATTTGCACAAAGGGTGGACACACGCACCTGTCGTACAAATAAGAGTTGTGCACGCTTGCCCACAGTCCAGTTCCAAATGAGCCAAGGCCCGGTAATGCGCTGCGGCCTAGAGGTTGGGGGACCCCTGATTTAAGGCAATGCACTGTTAATTTCCAATAAAACTAGAGTTTGAAATTCACATTTTATTTTTAAGGATTCCAGCCACAAGGTCATAAAGGTCTATCCACTGATGACTATGATCCTCAGTTTCAAGAAAAAAAATTGCAAAGAGGTGGCAGGAAGATGAAGAATGTTAAAGCAGTATACTGAAAACCAGGGTGGATTTGATTTAAATCGAGTCGATTTAAATCATGATTTAAATCACTAGTAAAAAGACTTGATTTAAATCAACTCGATTTAAATCATAATTTTTAAAGAGCAACTGTCATCTCTGCTACTCCTTTGACCCGCTGTTGACTCACCGAGAGTCCCAGTGTTGCAGAATATACAGCCTTGTGCTACATAACTAAGCTCCATTTCATGCTGAATAAACTAAATTATTTATGTATCTTAAATAGAAAACTATCTTATGATAGATTTTTACCCCAAAAGTTTTTTATTAAAATAAATTCAATAAAAATAAAAAAAAATCTGATTTAAATAAAAAAAATCCGATTTAAATAAAAAAAAATCCGATTTAAATAAAAAAAAATCCGATTTAAATAAAAAAATCTGATTTTTTTGATTTTTTTAAAAAAATCATTGATTTTTATCCACCCTGCTGAAAACTAATCACGCCTTTGCAGATATATTAAGCCTTCAAATGCCTATACCTAAAAGCTACACAATTGTATTGTCTTCTGCACCCACCACCACAACACCCAGAAAGATACCCAAGCACCCATACTGTAGCTGAGGGGTGGGTAGGTGGAACATGTCTGACACAGATATCACCATAAATCTTTCAAGTATTTGATTGCAATATAAAACACAGCACTGGAATAATGGATTTTTGTAAGAACAATAAAAGACATGAAATTAGTTTTTGCAAGTTACATGAGATTCAGCCCTGCATTAAAAAAAAAAGCTAAATGATTAACATATAAAAACAAACAGTACAGAGGGAAGGAGAATCATTTCAACTGAAGAAAAGCAGTACTGGAAACGTGAATGCAACATTCCTATATTTTCCTGCCCATTTATCCTTTCCTGGTTCCAGTTTGTTTTCTTAGTTTCTTTCAATATTTTATGCAGGGATAGATTAGCAATAGAGAATGTCAGGACGCTGCTACAAAAAAATCCAGCATTTCACTTTGTAAGCTTAGAGGACTGAGGCACAGATTTCTCTGCTTTGAACAGAGACTAAGTAAAATGCCTTTGATCTAGGCCAGGGGTCTCCAACCTTGGCAACCCTAAGACTTGTGGCAAAAGCTGGCTGAGGAACTCTGGGAGTTGAAGTCCGCATGTCTTTGCCAAGGTTGGAGACCCCTGATTTAGGCTACGTAAGCATTAGGTATTAAAGTCAGCACTTACCCGAATGAACTTTCAATTTGTGTTTCTTTAGGTTCTTGATATCTGTATAGGAGTTTCCACACAGCTCACAGATAAATGGTCTTTCCCCTTAAAGCAAAATTTCTAGTCAGACTCACTATATAGATATTTCAACAGGAAGGGGTGGTGGTGAAATCACCCTTCAATTAGCAAATGAGCAGTAGTATAGCATTAAGCAACATTTTTTTTAAAAAAAAAAATGATTCATATGCCGCCCTTCTCCGGAGACTCAGGGCGGCTTACAGTGCGTTAAGCAATAGCCTTCGTACTTTTGTATATATTATACAAAGTCAGAGCTTATTGCCCCCACAAACTGGGTCCTCAATTTACCTACCTTAGAAAGGATGGAAGGCTGAGTCAACCTTGAGCCTGGCGAGATTTCACGCATAAGTAATAGATTTGCTTCAGATTTTACCTGTATGAGACCGGAAGTGTTTGTTAAGTTCTCCTGAAGAAATGAAGCTTTTGCCACAAATGCCACATATATAAGGTTTCTCTCCTGCAGAGAAAATATGGGATAAGTTATCAGAAAATGCTGCCTTTCACCTACACTCTAATATAGGCAGCATAGTCCCTTTGATATATAGAACAGTCTTAATCAGATGCTGGTTCTCCAAACTTTTTAGTCTGTTATTGTTATTGTTTAAACTGTTATAGTCTGTTTAGTCTGTTTCCTACTGAGGGCAAAAGACACATGAATCCATGTTTTGCCTTTCGAAAGTTCCCTTTTTATAGCTACACCAACCCAGTAAGGCTTCCCTAATTCATTTTATTTCAGGATCACCTGTATGCTTTCTTGAGTGAGTGATGAGTGAACTTGAAACGGCAAACGTTTTCCCACAGGTGTCACAGACATAAGGCTTTTCTCCCGTGTGTCGTCGCACATGGTAAGTCAACGTGCTTGCTTGTGCAAATCGCTGCCCACACCGATCACAGACATATGGCTTCTCTCCACTGTGTTTCCTAAGGTACAAAAGTAAAACCTACTATCAGTGCCCCGGTGGCTTTTCAGCAAACAACATCATCTTTAGCCAAGTTTCAGGTGATGCTCATTATTCACTCACCTGGCGTGAATCTTTAGATTACTCGAAGTTGCAAATTGCAGATTGCAGGCGTCACACTTGTATGGTTTCTCCTCTCCGTGATGCATTCGACTATGGAAAACAAGCTGGCATTTCTGAACAAAACCTTTGTCACAGAGATCGCATTTGTATGGCTTTTCACCTGCAAAGGGAATTAAGATGTTACTTTAGCCATGCCTTCTAAAGCAGGGGTCTCCAACCTTGGCAACTTTACGACTTGTGGACTTCAACTCCCAGAATTCCTCAGCCAGCGCATGGGTTTGGGGAGTTGAAGTCCACAAGTCGTAAAGTTGCCAAGGTTGGAGACTCCTGTTCTAAAGGATTTTTTTTCCCGTTCTGGACAAAAAGGAATTATGGACAGAGACAAGGAGATATGGCTGAATTTCAGAGAGTGGCCAGAACCCCATCTGGTGACATCATTCAAACCTTAGGGGAGATCCATCTCCTTGGCTGACAAAGCTCTTTATTCCAGCTTAACAGCACTTCGATCTATTGCCAGTAATAGATGCAACGGAGAGAAGTTTTTCCTGATTATCCAAAATAACTTAGCCGTAACCGCCCATGTAATGCTGGAAAACGTTTTGCCACAAATCAACCCCTTAGCAAATGTTCAGGAGTTCTAGGTATTGTCTTTCTGCTTAATTAAGGCTTGAACATTTTCAGATGCTGTTTACTCCACTGAGTCTTGGAATGATTACACATTTAACGGGAAGGAAGACATAGGTAGCGGTGTCTGTGTTCCTTTCATGGTTTTGCAATAGTTTATCAAGTCAAATTTGACATTCCAAGTTTATTTATGTATTCATTACATTTATATGCCACCCATCTCACTAAGCAAGCAACTCTTTGTGGCTTACAATGTCATAAATAACAGTACAAAACAACTAGAAGGTTAAAAACATTGACCATCAAAAGTTAAAACACAAAGTTGCACCCTGTACACTGCAGAGACGATTCAGACCAACACAGGTTGTTAGTTCTCAAAGATTGCATGGACAAAAATACCGTGTAGAAAGATACGGCTTAATTATCACATAATCCTCACACACACACACAACAAACCAATGAAAAGAACGGTGACAACCTTACACTGTTACTTATTAAGATTTTAAATACTGTGTATAGGAGCCACACACTACAACTTCCATAGCAAACATTTTTAAAACACTGCCAGAGAAGGAGGAAAAAAACCTGTTGTCGGTTTTCTTTTACAATGATCAGTCTGAAGGATTACAAGAAGAGTCCTTTTCTGGGGCGGAAAAATTTAATTAATTAATTCAAGCTTACTGGTTACTTACTGGTTTACAGCCAACGTGATACCTAAGAAAAATGACTTTTCTCACCTCTCCTTCCTCCTAGCTGTCTTCAGCTTTCGGTTTTAGATTCTGGGCATTTATCCAGTTAGCACCTGGCATGTCTTTCTAGCCAAGCAACGTGACCTTGGATGTCTTCCCAAAACACTGACTGTGAAAAACTGAACTCTTCTTTGCTACGCTTTCAGTTCACAGAGAGCGAAGAAGGACCTTACTGTATTCCTTTTCGGTTTTTTTGTTTCTCTCCTATGTTTCCTGGCCTAGGGATTCCCTGCTCCCTTCCCTTGTCCAGCCCTTGCCAGTTATTATCACAGACCGGGGGACAACTGCTTGGGAGCGAGTTCAGCAGGACCAATATAAGAGCTCTCTCTCTGTTTCCTATTTTAGCACTCTCTTTTACTGCTAGCTGCTGTGACTTTGGCTGATTTGATGTTTTGTGACCTGGTTTTGTGGCTGCTGTTTGGGCCAGATCAGGAGTTGGCACTTAGTCACTGTTCTTCCCACTGGACAGCTTCTTCCTAGCTGCGAGAACCAAGCAGAACAGGAAGCTCTCTCCTTGATTTACCAGACAGGTCACTCACACCAGTCAATGTCCTTGGAAGTCTGACCGTTCCATTACTGGACTCCATCTTTCTGATATCACTGCAATCCCTATAAACTTCAGCTGCTACTTTAAAGCTGAGCTGCCAGGCCACTCTCTGAAGCCTCTGTCTGTTTCCTCCTTATCGAGCCCCACAACATAAAAAGTACTTACAACATCATCTGTATGTACTTCATCTGAGTCTTTGGTTTTCTTCAGCCTTCTTCCACTAGCTCTCCACCACTCCAAATCTTCAGCTACCACTATGTCATGTTATGCCATCAACACACCATCGCCCAGTTGCCACCCCAACTTCTCTGGAATTAGCAATAGCAATAGCAATAGCACGTATATACCGCTTTACAGTGCTTTTACAGCCCTCTCTAAGCGGTTTACAGAGTCAGCATATTTCCCCCCAACAATTTGGGTCCTCATTTTACCCACCTTGGAAGGATGGAAGGCTGAGTCAACCTTGAGCCTGGCGGGATGTGAACTGCCAAGTTGCAGGCAGCCGGCAGTCAGCAGAAGTAGCCTGCAGTACTGTACTCTAACCACTGCGCCACTGAGGCTCTAGCCTTTTTAAATAGCCAATTAGCCTTTTAAAAGCCTTTTTGCCTCACACATGCCCTGCCCTGGTAAATGTTTATGTGCAAGACATAAGGGTGACACCGCAGGGCAACCCAGTGCTTTCACTCAACTCTCTCATCAACTAAATCATAAGATTCTCTAACTTTTTACAATTATGGCAAAAACCAAACTTACTGCTTACATCAAAGTAGGTATGCACTGTCAACCAGAACCTGTGCACCAGAAACCATTTTATTTAATAAGATTTTGTGGAAGGTCTAACTATGTTTTAGTAATGCAGTGTGGGTATATATATATATATATATATACCCACACTGCATTACTAAAACTATATATATATATATATATCCTTTACTTACTTGGAAGAACTTTTATAATATCCCTACCTAAATAGTTTTGGCAAGAAACAAGCGCTACAAATATTACACAAAGGGTAGAATAAGGCTATAGCTCACAAATCAGTAAACCAGTATATCAGGACAAAGTAATACATCTACTCTGAAAATGCCCAGGACTGAACTTTCTGCTCACAAACTATATATGGTAAAACATTATATCTCTCCTTGCAGCTTATAGAAGCAAGAAATACTGATATATCTAGTTTCATTTGCTAGGGTATACCTGCTTCAAAAAAAATCTGAAAATGAAGAACATTCCTGAATCCTACTTATATTATTAAAATAGATCACAAGTTGGCAAAAGGGAATTTATTTGAAAGATGGGTAACCTTTCCTGCTCATTGTGACAGGATATAATCCCCAAACCCAAACAGACAGCCTACCTGTGTGAGTTCTTACATGCGTTTTCAGCTGGTTGCATTGGGTAAACGCCTTGTCGCACAGCTGGCACACGTATGGTTTGACTCCCTTGTGAATCCGCATGTGCCGTCTCAGGCTACTAGATTCAGAAAATACCTTCCCACATGTATTACACACTGGCTTGGCCTTGGGGTATTTCTGATCCAGGTCTTCTCCCGAGCTCTCCAACTGATAGGAGTTCTTGTCACTGGTAATGTTAGATAAGCAGTGCTCTTTCAAAGCACAATTTTGATGTGGTTTGCCTTGTTTTGGCTTCACGGCCATAGTCTGCACAAGGATTTCTTGAGCAGCAAAAGTTTCACTCTCCACCACAGGGGTAAGTTGTAGTTCAGAATTATCACCACCTTGGGCAGCTTGTTCTGTTATCTCGGTGGCCAATTTATTTGCGTCTAAAAACATCTCCATGGCAGAGTTTTCTGCAACATCACCTGGATATTGTACTGGCTTGCTCGGTGGGTGTTTGGGGGAACTGAAGGCCTTTTTTCGTTTTTTGGGTTGAACAGGTTTTTTTTCCAAGGCTCCTGTTAAGACTGGAGATTGAGCTATATCCACTGAAGGGGCTTCTGATTTCTCCTGGTTATTGTAGTCACGAAGCGTTAGCAGGCAAGTCTGTTGGTTCAATGCAATATTCCCAGTGATACTAGAAGTTTCTGTAGAAGAAGGATTAGCAATAAAAGCAAAATCTTCCATTTTAATTTTACATTTAGTGACTACTTCCTCCACTTTAAGATAGTCGGCAGCCTGGTGAATTTCTTTAACATTCCAACTGCAAGAAAAATATACATGAAGAAAACCGAGGGTCTTAAAAATGCATGAGTATTAAATTGAGAAAACAGATACAATTTTTATCAAGACTTTAAAAATCTAGATCAGAAATAAGACTTATAATATGCTCCCTTTTCCTCTTTTGAAATGGCCATTAAATCACAAAAATAAGCATCAACCATAAAAGTGATGTCACTGCTATATAATCCCATTTTACCAATCAGTTCACCTGAACTATGTAGTCTAATACTGTTATTCAGATTGACCAAATCTGATACTGGATGTTAGCTGACATGGAGCATGTCACAACAGAGGTACTGCCACATAAAAATATGGTAAATATTAAGACATGAGATCCAATGCTTAGATAGACCACTGGGCAAATTCTAAACTTGAAAATGTTGAAGTTGGTTTAGCCTACAAAAATGTTGAATAGAAAATAATCGCCAACAATTTTTATATATCACCAAGTGATACTAACTGAATTATTCCTTTAGTCACCTCTGTGAGAGGCAGAGGAATGTAGTGGTTCAAGTATTTGGACTAGAAGTGGGGAGATTCAAGTTCTCTCTATCCTCAGTCATGGAAAATCATCAGGTGACTTCAGACATCCTCACATGTACAATGACAATAAAGGCTGCTATTATTATTATTAATAATAATAATTATTATTATTATTTTGTTCATTAAATATGAAACTCAGTCACCTGAACATTCAAAAATGTATCACAAATACCATTGACTGGTGCTAACAGTTGATACAGGTTGCTGCCAGCATCCTAGGTATCAACCAAGTACCTTCTTAAGATGTACAATGTTCCAAGTAGCACAGATTTTTGCAGTTCCGCTGGTGTTATTGCAGGAAGCTGCAATGTGCTGATGTATGTTATAAAATTCTTGGACATGGTACCAAGTGCCCCGATGACAATGGGTATCACTGCTACATGTTAATAATACTGTTGTTGTTGTTGTTATATATTATTATTACATGGTGGTTCTCGTGGGGACAAGTAAGAGGAGCAAATACTATTATTGGCTTCTTGAATTCCTGTACAAAGACAGGCTATAAATCTAAAATCTCAATACATAGCAAGCGGTATCAGTTCTAATTCCTTGTAACAAGCTGCTGTCATACAATCTGTTAAACTGTTGCTTGTTATGACACTTCAACCTAAAGGCGTTCCCCCTCCCCATTCCTTGCTTAATACTGATTTTTTTAAAGTACACCACTCATATAACAGAGGATTTTGTACCATGAAATGAGGAGCTTGCAAATTGGATTAAACTAATCGTCATATGACATTGCACATCACCTTGCATATATTAGTTTCCTCTTCTGTTCCTGCCTGCTTTATTTCTGTGACATCTTAACTTACATTGTAATTTTTATCTTAAGCGAGAACATTCTGTTTAGTTCTCTGTCTAGTATTTCCTTTAACACTAAATAAATATCCAGCCATACCTATCAAGGTTTAAATTTCCTGTGTATATGAATTCCAAAAGTTTCTGAAATCCATCAACCTTCACTTGATTCTGATCCAGAAATATATTACTCTCTGAAGTATCCCTGTAAATAGCCCAAAAGTACTCGCTAAAAGATGCAAGAACATTTCGATGAGCTTTGAACTGGAATTCACCAATAATGATGGTGCAGTCACAAAGGAAGCCCACTTCACGCTGCCTATTCAGACTTTCCAGTAGATGCTCACAGTGATGGGAACACTGCATTTTGCGTAATGGTGCACAGTATCTTCCCTTTGGCCTGAGAAGAAAAACAAATATATAAGCATCAGGGTTCCTACGGTAGTTTCAGCAGAATAAAAGAAACAACACAAACCCATTCAAAGATTTGTCTCTGTCTACTATTTTTGTATTATTTAGACAACAGAATCTAATTATTATGAAGAAAAGCAAAATGCTCAGACAAAACTAAAACTATTTCATTTGCCAAATACAATCTCCCCACAGGTGCTACAGTTCACAAAAATACATTTGCTGGGAAAAGATGTTCTAGAAAGTATGAGCATTCCCTTTCCAAAAGAAGCAAATTTAAATCACATCAAAAAGAAAGGAGGTTAAACACTATTTTAGGATATAATGAGAGATTTTGAAAACTGGACTCTCTTTCGGTTTGTCAACCAGAGGCTGAATCGGATGGGTGCCCTATCAGATTTCCTGCATCATCCGAGCAGATTTTCCCCACAACCCCATGCAAAGTATATTTGGCAGAATAAATTCAAGAAGCCAAACTTAAAAGGCGTATTTCAGTTGCAGAACTCAACTGAGACTCTTCCCATTTTATGCAAAGAGTATTTATATCCTACTGCTCAATGCCTTTATGTAGGGATCCAGATACAAAGGGCAGAATAGGATTTGGAGTCCCAGTAGGCACAGGGATCCATCTGCAATCCCCCAAAGACCCCTTTACTTTTCCATGTTCTTAATAGCCTCTTTATTTATAACATTTATTGGCCGCCCAATCTTACCCCAGGATAACTCTGGGCGGCTTACAATATTAAAAAGACTAAAACTACACAAATGAAATACTACAAAAAAACCGTGATGCGCAATCCTAGCTGACAGATGGGGAAGGAGCAGGATGAGTAAGGGGTGTGTTATTTATCTAATCCATCTACACGGAGTGGCAAGTTGGACCAGGACTGGAGAGACCCAGATTCAAGGGAGACCCCAACTTCCATTAGAGAAACTCACTGGGTGATTTGGGCTCAGTCGCCCTTCCTCACCCTAATAAGGCTGTTAAGGGGTTACTCCCTGTGCAAGATGCATGGAGCCCTCTAATAACAAGCAAATACATTGTGTGTGAAGGGGGGGGAGTTTTGGGGCAATATTGCAGAGTGGCATCTCCTGTAAGAGCAGAACACAAACTGGCATCAGCATCTTTTCAGCTTTCCCTTTTGCCTAAGGATCTGGCTGAGAGGTGGGAGGGGGGAAGAGCTTCCAAATCTGACCTCCCCAAATGCCGGCTCCCTCCTGTCACACACGCCCGCCAGCTGGGCTTGCCTCCCACCCACTTCTTCTCCTCGGTCCTTCGGATTTCTCTCCAGCAAGTCCGGGGTGTCCCTTCTCCATCCTTCTCCCCACCCCCACCCCCCAGCCATCGAGCCCCAATGGTTCCGTCCTAGCCCGCTTCTCCTTTTCTCTCTCCCTCCCTCCCTTCAGAATTACTGGGCAAACACACCTGGCAGGGGTGGCAACTCGAGAGCGGAAGCCTCTTCCGCTCAGGGCGCCATTTTGCGATGACGCGTTGTTGAGTCCGCCTCCTTGGTTGGTGGCGTTTCAAGGCTCACTTCCGTTCGCCGAGCAATTCCAGCCAGGAAAGAATAGCGATGGCTGCGGTTGGAATCGGGGGCGGGGCTTAATGACGTCGTTGTGGGGGAAAGAAATGGGCGTTTCTCCACAGCCTAAACTACATTTCCCATGATGTCTAGCGCCATAAATTATTAATTTTTAGGGGGGGTGCGAGTGACTTTGTAGAGACGGATGGAGCGAGATCTATTTGTCATCTGGTTAAAGTGGAAATTAAGTATATTAGGATTTATTGGAATGTCTGTAGTGCATCTAGACCAGTGTTTCTCAACCTTGGTAGGTTGAAGATGGGTAGACTTCAACTCCCAGAATCCCCCAGCCAGCACTGCTGGCTGGGGGATTCTGGGAGTTGAAATCCACCCATCTTCAAGCTACCAAGGTTGAGAAACACTGATCTAGACAAAGGAACGCACATTAGCCATTAGCTACATAAAACCATTACTCTTACTTGTGTGCCTCCAAGTCGGAAACAAAAGTAATAAACAGTTATTTCAAAGCTGCACGGTTGCAATATTAAAACGTTGAGATGCACGGTTTTTTTTTAAACTATTATTTTTTTAAAAAGTTGTTCCTAGACATTGGGAGCATGTGTAAAAAAATGTATTAAAAGCAAATTTATTGCCACAAATTGTTTGAGGGAAAGTCCATTTTTAAGCATTTTCTGTCCATTATAAATAAAATACATTTAAAAAAAACTTTGAAGAAGTAACTTACGTCTAAATAAAAGTAGTTTTGGAAATTAAAATGTTTCCGCCCGGTTTCGAACCGGGGACCTTTCGCGTGTTAGGCGAACGTGATAACCACTACACTACGGAAACTGCTATGCCCAACGCCTTGAAATTATTCTCCTTATGCCTTTACTTTTACTCTGCTAATTCCTCCTCAAGCAGAATTTGAATACAGTATCATTCAACAGTGAGACCAAATATTTATTCACAAAAAATTCTAACTAAAATATAGATACTGCGGCCCGAAATGAAGACTTCCTCTATTAAGTATTGCTGCTACACAATTATAGGATAATGATACCTAATCGGGTAATGAAATGTCTGCAAGCAACCCAGCTCAAAGAGCAGCAAAGATATCACAATTCAACTCTGAGGTACATATATTCACAACTATAGAACAGTTAACATTTATACTTACAAAAATAATTGTTAAATTATCCTCATTTTCTTTTCTTAAAAACCCGATTACTTATGACTTGATAAAAAGAAGGGATTAACTGTTATTCTGTCACTCCTTGAGGCAATTGTTGAGAATTTAAAAAGTATAAAAATAAATTAAAATTGGTAGGATCATTATATTCTATAAGACCCTATATAATTAATTTTAGAAAAGGACATTATAAGTACACCTAGGTGGGCGTAAATGCCAAATTGAACACAGTGGGATTTCAGGGGTGAGCAAGAAACAAGCATTGAATTTGATGGATGTAGATTCTTTTTCCATGCTATCCTTTCTTTCAAGGAAGGTATATAATTACCATTTCATCCTTATTTCCACTCAATTCCAGGTGAGGTCATCTGAATGTTAAAATAATATCTACACAACATAACTTGCCCAGATGTTTCCCTCTTCTTTCTGTGGTTTCTGTGGTTTCCTAATAAATAGAGCACTTTAATTATCTGTAACTATCACAAAGTACCTGTTCCATCAAAGTAAATAGCACCATTACACAAACACAATAGCTGTTGTGGCAGGTGTTCCTCTCCCTCTTCAAACTTGTGGGAGTGGAAACCTTGTGCCACATTTGGCAGAAAGCATAGCCTCAATTTCCATTGTTTCCTAGAATAGACTAGAATAGACTAGAATAGACTAGACTGGAATAGAACAGAACAGAACAGAACAGAACAGAACAGAACAGAACAGAACAGAACAGAACAGAATAGAATTCTTTATTGGCCAAGTGTGATTGGGTACACAAGGAATTTGTCTTTGGTGTACATGCTCTCAGTGTACATAAGGAGAATAAAATACATTCATCGAGAATAAAAAGATACAACAGTTAGTGATAATCAAGGTTACTAATAGGCTATCAAATCGTACTAGGAAACAATAAAAACAATATACATTGAAAGATACAAGCAACACGGTTATAGTAATAAGTGGTAAGAGATAGATACTAGTAAGGAAGAGAAGAATAATGGTAATACAGTCTTAGTAAATTTTTTGACAGTGTTGTGGGAATTAGTTGTTAAGCAGAGTGATGGCATTGGGCGGAAAAAACTGTGCTTTTGTCTAATTGTTCTGGTATTAGTGTTAGAAAGAAGAAAAAAATGTTGTGCCAACATGAAAGATGTTGCAATTCCCCATGACTGAACTGAGACTTAAAAGATGACACATGATATTCATTAGGATTCAGTGACATGCTTATTTGTTATCAAATTATTTTGTTGTGCAATTATAATTGTTTTCTTGGGGCATGTGGCATACTGAACTATAAGCTCACTACAAGAACCAACCTCCCAGAAACACTCTGGGCTAAAAGGCGATTTGATGCTAAGGCAACTTATGTGGGAGTAAATCCCATTGGCTTCAGTGGGGTTTGCTTCTGATTACATTTGGGATGGGGAGCTGATGAGTTTCAGATTTCCCTTATGATTGTCTATGTTGGCTGAGATAGACAGAGCTATAATTCCAAAAATTTGGACCGCTACAGCTTTCTCCTTCCTGGTATAATATACAGGATTCCAATGAGTCATTGCGAAGTGATTGATGGGTCCCAAGTAGGAAAAAAAAGTATTTTTACATGCCTATTTCCCCACTTTTAAGTGGTAAAATGTTTCGGGCATGTTAGTGCTTGCTTACCATTCTTTGTCTTTCAAACTGGAAGAAGATTGTTTGAGTGAAGACACTTCTGTAACCTGTTTATATGGAGCTATATAGTCTAAATATAGAATGAGGAATTTGCTGTATTAACATATTGCTGCCCTAGGCCTGGAGGGGGAATAGCCCATCAAAGTACTTTTTCCAGGAAGAGAAGATAGTTTTGCCCACTTCCCCAATCCCTGCCCAGACTCTATGCTTCTTAAACATTCTCCATGTCATTCTCTTGCCATTGTCTTTCTCCAAAAGCCAAATAAAAACCCAGCAGAATTCTTTTGTGGGTATGTTATATCAGCAAACCTATTTGACCAATTGACCTTCAATCAAAGTAGACCATACCCTTTTTAATCAGATCTTAAGAGGTCTTTGTTTCAAGACACAAAAATCCTTGAATCAAGACTGTAGATCAAGAAAGCTGTATTTTCAAGTCTTTTTCAGCAAAACCTGAAACCCATAACAATTGGCTGTTGGGAATTGTCACCTCAATGCAAAACTGAAGGACCCCCAGGCTAGAGAAGCAGGTTTATTTCTTTTGCTCCCCAAATTTATTGGGGAGATGATTATTGGGATAATGAAAAATATCTGCTTCCCGGAAAAATAAAGTGCTTACAAAGAAGGTGCCACAGATCTAGCAACCTGGCTGTCAACTACGGTAAATATTTTATTAAATATAGAGTCCTATTCCAATGAGAAGCAAGTGGTGGGTGAGATCCAAGCTCAAATTATTTTTTTGTTATCCTTAGAATGCTGGGGCTGCAATTCCTGAAAGCAGCAATTCTGTGAGGGCAGCTTCCCAACTAGGCTTAGGATCCAGGTTCTCTGCCAGAAGCCTGAGAGAATTGGAAGAGGAAGGCCAGATATCATGTCCCAAAAAACCAAGATGGCGGCTTTGACCATATGATTAAAGCTATATCTGTCTTTACAAGCAAAGCATTTTAAAGGCAGACAGAACTTCCATAGTACCGTTGCAGCTGTTTTAGCTCTTTTGACTATAGCCTGCTGACGCTCCCAAATGAAGGCAGCAGTATTGATGCATTTTATCTTTTTTTAGTGCAGGTTGGCTCATTTAAATATTTTTCCTTTTTCTGTTCCATTATCTCTGTTAGTTGGTTGATCTGTTTACAAATATTGGCTAATTTCTATACATAAACCTCCTAGATTCATCCCTCCCCAAGTACTTATCTCACTTCAATTATTAAAATAAAAACCATTCTTAGCCAATATTAGGCTTGCATCAGCCCTACATACTCCACAATATCTTGGGCTCAGTATCAAAAACTTTAGTCCTGGGGAAAGGGGATATCCTGTTCTTCCCCAACCATCTTTTGGGTAAAAGAAGGACATCTCCCCATTAAAAAAATATCTGCCCTACTGCTTCATACTTAAGTCATCCTAGTGAGAAATTGGAATGGTTGGAATGGGAAGTGTCAGCTTGTGTTATGTGTCTCTGCCTTTGATCAAATTTAAACAGTTTCCCATTTAAATTACATGTCCCCTGAAAAGAAAAAACTAACCACAACAGGACAGTTCTTGAACCATGAAACAGACTTCATTGAGGAATGCAGAGAAAACAGAATCACTGTATTCATCCTATCTTATCCAAACATTTATTCAAGGCCTTACAAAGCTTTGCTCAGAAGGTATCATAGCAACATGAAGGTCATAATAGCCTGAGCAACACCTGTCTGGAGAGATTGTTAGCCTTAATCTTTCCCCAATATAAGACAAGCCCACTGAGGGTCACATGCTCTGTGCAGGAACAGGAACCATCAACAAGGGATGGGTGAGCTACCACCAGCTATAGTTTTAGACAATGGCTCAGGCCTGCTCAAGGCTGGTGTTGCTGGAGATAAGGAACCACGTGTCATCTTTACCAACTTGATAGGCCGCGCCAAGGCCAAGTCTGTAATGCTCGGCGCTGGCCAGAAGGA